CACTGTGTGAACGAATATTATAGAATTTATTAATCAGCAATTACTCCATTCCTCTAATGAAGGTTCATTTCTAAATGCTAGTTACAATGACAAACCGATCATGTCATATTTGAAGAATGACATTACCCACATAGCACGCGTCGAACCGCGGTCGCACCGCTTTAGCCGATTTTGAACCCGCTAGGTTAACATCGATCAAAACTGGCACATTATTTGACCGTCAGTGGGTTTATCTGAAATTTGACCTTTCTGGTTCAACCAGGTTTAACCAAATAGGTTCATTTTTGGTCCAGACTTATGACGCATGCGCGATAGATAGTGCGCATGCGCAGTAGGTAGTGCGCATACGTAGACGTATATCGAGCAAGATGCCAGGTAGATGAGCGCCATTTTAAATTCGCGCTTGGCTTGGTTTATTTATACGTGATTTTGTTGATTTATTTTTCTAAAAGAAACTCCATATAAATATGTCGACTAGAAAGTTTCGCAAATCTATTGGCTTTGTGACAGACCGACATTTTAGAAGGAGGGTGAAGTGGGAATTCGAAAGAATAACCGCGGAAAAAAAGAAAGAATTGACTCTTTCCAGTGTAAATGATAGTGCTGTTCATCATGTTGAAATTTCAACAAGTGTCAGTACTCAGGATGATTTTGGAATGCAATTTAATGATCATCACGATCAAGGTAATTATAAATTAAATTTTATCTAATTATTTAATAGTGAAGATAATAGAAAAATATGTAAATAATTTAGTTTTAGCATGTAATCAGAATGATTTTGGAGCGACATCTTCTCATGAATATGATAATCAAGGTAATTATGAATTTAATTATATATAATTATTTAATAATAATGATGTTTTAAAAATTAATATATATTTCAGGCTCTGATTCTGAGGAGAGCCTCAATGGAGAGGTTATACCAGAAGTCTTTGATGTAAAGCAATTTTTAGCAGAATGGGCTGTTACATACCAGGTTCCTTATAATGCTGTATCGGCACTGCTTAAGGGTTTAAAAAAGCATGATTGTTTTAAAGATTTACCAGCAGACTCCCGAACAATTTTAAAGACGAGAAGGATAGCAGTATCGAAAGTTATGAACCCAGGAGAATATATTCATTTTGGATTGTTAACTGGTTTGAAAGATTCTATTGATAGATTGAAGTTAAATTCTTCTATCATTGAATTAGGAATTAATGTTGATGGTTTGCCTATATCAAGTTCCTCGAATATGTCTGCATGGCCTATATTGTGCACCATTATTCCTACTAAATATATCTTTATCATAGGACTCTACTGCGGGATTGAGAAACCTAAAGATTCGAATGAGTTTTTAGGTGACTTTGTTGATGAGGCGATTGGCATAGTGAATGAGGGTTTCGATCACAACGGAAGTCATTATGAGACTCGAATTAAATATTTTGTTTGTGATACTCCTGCAAAATCATTTATTCTGAAAACAAAAGGACACAGGATATTATAGCTGTTCAAAATGCCTTGTTCAAGGTTCTTATATTAATCGTAGAATTTGTTTTCCAGAAATGCAATCACCTGCAAGAACTGATGAGCATTTTAGAATCTTACAAGATGAAGACTACCATAATGGCTATACAAGATTGCTTGAAATACCTCATGTTGGTTTAGTTAGCAACGTACCCCTTGATTATATGCATTTGATTTGTTTAGGTGCTGTTAGAAGAATGTTGTTGCAGTGGACTGAAGGAGATCTTCCGATTCGCTTACCATATGTAAAAGTTAATGAAATTTCAAACTCTCTATGCAGGTTGAGACGTTACATACCTAAGGAGTTTGCTAGAAGACCTCGATCTTTGAAATATGTAAAATCCTGTAAAGCTACAGAATTCAGACAATTTTTATTATATAGTGGTCCACTGGTTTTGAAATCGCACATTTCATTTGACTTTTATATGAATTTTTTAACACTGCATGTGGCTATTAAAATTATGCTGAGCAACTACTGCATTATTTTGTTAAGGGTTTTATGTTATTATATGGAGAACATAATGTTAGTCATAATATTCATAACATATTGCATTTAGCAAATGATACAAGAAGCTTTGGTAATCTGGATTCATTCAGTGCATTTAAATTTGAAAACTACATGCAGGTGTTGAAAAAATTTATACGAAAGTCAGATAAACCAGTGCAGCAAATTTACAAGAGGTATTTCGAGGTAAAAGAGCACTTTATAGATTGTAGTATTATAGTTAAGTTTTTCATTGTATTATTTTGTTAGGTTTATTGTATTATTTTATTAGTTTAAGTTTATTATATACTTGTATATTGTAAGATTTTCATATAATATCATTTTGATAAAATATTACAATAAAATGCTTCGATCTTTATTTTTTCCATGAAAATAAATATTATTTTAATCTAGAATTGCATTTTTAATTCATTAAATATTTATTTCAGATTTAATTCAATAAAAAAAAAATTATTCACGTTCCATTTTTAACCCATTTGCCAAATTTGATCGAACGGTGTTCAACCCATTTACCAAATTTTTGACCTATTATCAAAATATTTTCAATGTGTGTGCCAAATTTTGACCCCCAATGAAACTTTTCTCAATCCATAATATATGCCAATAAGGTTGACTAATATCTCAACCGGGTTCGGACTTTAGGTTCATTTCTGTGCTAAGATTGACCTAAATACACGTATGTGGTGCGACCAAAATTTAACGGATCGACCTAAAAGTCGAACCACAGGTCGCCCCTCACTCGCACTTGTGCTATGTGGGTAATTACATTATTGTTTCTAAATATTATATATATTTTTAAATCTATTATAAATATATAATTTATAATTTATCATTATATAAATGTGTATAATAGTTGACACTAATAAATATGTTCATCACGAGTGTTACCATATTACTAATAAACATTATTCAAAATTGTTATATGATGTATTTATTTTTACTTAAATGCCACCTTGTACAGTAGCAAATAAGTTTTACTTCAATCGCATGTAAACTTTACGCGCACTCTTTTTTTGTACATCAAAAAGAAATTGTATATATAAGAGAACTAACGAAAATGGTCCGGCGCCAAATTTACAGTCTTTTCCTTGCAGTTGGCAGTGATAAACGGTCAGCAACGTTTACCATGTATGTAAGACATTTTTTTAGATGTTTCAATAAATTTCATTGAAATTATATTTGATAGCATTTCCTCAAAACTAATTTTAATTTGTCGATCAGTCGATCATACAAATCATTCAAAGAAATATTCTAGTGACGATTCCCGGAGTGTGCGTCGGTCCTATAGTAACTGTCGATCCTTATGGACCAACGCCGGGCTCAACGTGTTAAATCTATGTACTTGCTAACTGTTTAGGCAATATGCAAGTAAGTATATATATATTTCTCATTCTAACATCTATCAAGTCTAAAAACTTAAATCTGAATACCTGATAGGTCCCGAGGCCAAATCTTGGAAAGTGATTGCCATTGTAAAACTGGAGAAAGAATTTTGGGTCAAATTTCGAAGATTGTTCACAAGCTGCCTAAAAATAGTATACTTCAGACATGTACCATATTTAACCTTTGAATTATTATCAATTGTTGTCCTACCTTTAAATATCTTATGTCTGAAATCTTCATTTTATGTTTTTAAATGCTTCGATGAATAAAATATAAAAATGTAATTAAAAAACAAAAATGTCAATAAAATGTAATAATATATTTAAAACAAATGCGTTATATTAATGACAGGCTTTAGTATGTATAAACTTTTCTAATTAAATTTTCCAGTCATTCAAAGGTACACAAATAATCTCAAAATTTATAGATATATCTATAAGTACATAAATAAAAATAGTACAAAATTTAAACATAATTTCTAGAATATTTTTTCAGAAAAATGTATAAAATTTATTGGGACACAAGCCAGAATTGTAAATTAAGATAATGTTTATTTAGTTAATATTAAAAGAAGTTAATATAATCAGAACAGACAATCCGCCTTCCAATAAGTTTTGGTTTCTCGACTTTTTTCTGGTTGAAACTTAAAACTTTGTAACCCGAAGTGAGTGTGTGTATATAGGTGTGCGAGCGTGTGTGTTCGATTTTAAGCCTTTGGGCGGCATTTGAAAAAAAATAATTTCGAGAATTCAAAAGTGATCTTATAAAACTCAAAATGCGCTCGCGTCGATTAGTTTTGCGAGACGATCGGCCAAGCGGTTTCATTAGAAATGGCATTAATGCAAAAGTTTTCTCCCACATTACAGCAACGTTATAGCATCAATTAGAAGTGGTGTGATTTTTTATTGATTTGATCATTTTGTGGCCGCCTTTTAGGTCGTCCAAGACCAAAATAAAGCGGCCAAGCCAAGTAAAAAAAAAGACCAAAATAAAACGGCCGAATTAAGAGACGGCTAAATTGAGAGTACGTTTAATCAGAAGGCGGTCGAAGTAAAATGCAGGCGATAGGCGGCCATATTAAAAGACGGCTGATAAAGTTTCTGTTTCCAAATAGTTTTAAATAAATTTATTAATGTAGCAATAAACTTGGTGTAAGTGGCCCTTTACCTAAAGGCAAGTTGCATGAACTTTCCGACATGAGTGAAAAATTGATAACTATAAGAAATCTATTAATTCATATAAATTTCCCAGACAGCACAAGACATGCCAGGGAATGTCCCACTTGTCCTCACAATCTCCTAATATCGCGATATCCTATGAATATCCTATGAATATGCAACGGGACGTCTCAAACCCAAAGGACTCGAGCAGGTATAACAAACGGTTCACGAACATGTCGCACTCATACGCGCACGGCTTGAGACCTCTAAACGCATATGTTTGTCCCTTTCTCTTTCGTCGCGTCGGCTGTAGGCTGTAGGCACGGAGCGTCCTTTAAGGTTTCAGCATTATCAATAGACGCTATATGTCATAGTTTTTGAGTAATTGAGTAATAATAGTGAAAATTTTATTTGTTTTATATAATTATATGAGCGTGTGTTATAAATAATTAATATTATTTATCAAAATACTCTAAAATTGAGTAATAATAGTGGAAATTTTATGTGTTCTATATAATTATATGTGCGTGTGTGTTACAAATATTGCAGCCGTGTTTGAAAGAGGATTGACAAAAAAGAGCATTGAAAGAGTTGGTTTTGAGGTTTGACTCGAACCATACTCAAAAGTTAAATTAAATATTTTTTGAAATGCTTTCTATTATGTTTGTTGGAGGAGCTTCAACTTGTGGATCAAAACACAATTGGTAATCAAAAGTTTATATAGATTTATTTTTATTTGTTAACTTTATCATATACTAAACAAACTTTCTCTTTAGATTTTGTATTTAGCCATCAGAGTCCAGCTATGAAAATCCATTTTTGATGATGGTTTGGCCAAAGAATTTTGCTAGGGACGAGGAAAGGGCAAAAATAAATTTTGTGATCTAGTGCCTTGCGATGTCATCACAGGTAATTTATATATCTTATACTTATGATGTGTTGTAAATTATGAATAAAACTAATATATAATTAATTCCAGGAATTGCTTTGAAAAATTTGCCGCATGAGACATAGTTTGCTGTTTTAGAGGCTGCAAAAAGCTGGCTGCGACGTGCCAATAAATATTATACAAGGTATTTCTGTGAGATGTGTACTATATGTTTCTCCTATTTACAAAAAAATCATGATTATTGACTGGTTAGTTGTATCAATGTTAGTGCAAAATTTGTGCTGTGTACACATTTTTAGATGTAAAAAACCAAGTTTAATATTCACTCGTAATGACATCAAATTGTGTCGATATATTTGGAATTAGAGATTATTTTATAAATCTCTGTCTATTTTGATTGATGTATCGCTCTTAAAGAACTTACTCATATATATATATATACATATATATGCATTTATTCATTTGTTTTCTATTTCAGGAGAGAAAATCAACCATAAACTAGGATTGAATGCCGAATTAATTATGTTTTTAATATTGTAAAATAAGTTATTTTGAATTAAAGTTGTATATATTAAATTTTGTTATAAAATTATCTCAGGATTTTGTTATTTTGTAATAAAAGTTTACTTTGTGAAATTGTGTTCTTTTATTTTATTTTTAATCCAAATTTATTTTTCATCTAAAAAGTAAAAAACAATTCCATAATTATATCCTATTCATGTCCGGTTTATGTCCGGAATATCCCGCGCGGGATATCCTACAGAACGTCCCATAGGTGCGACATATTAACATGTTTCGGATAAGATCAGGATAAGCGGGATATCCGTAAGGCTATCGCAGGGACAATGAATGTCCGCGCGTGGATATCCTGTGGACGTTTTCCAGGATGTCTTGTGTTGTCTGGGTTTATTAGTGATTTAAAAGTAAACTCAGTTGCTGATGCTGTAAAGCATTTCAATCTGAAAACTTATGGCAGATTATTCAATTTTGTACAAATTTTCTGAACATGTTAGTATTTTTTTTTACAAATAATGACATGTATAAATGACAAAAAATATGATTTTTTAAAAATTAAAACGACTTGATTTAGGGTCGAAATATTTAGAAACAAAAAAAGATTTACAAAAACCATCGATAATTTTTTTTTAACAATATACGAAGAAAAGATCCGACCGATCTGTTCCAGAAACTATTCTTTATTCTAGGAACAGCACTATTCCCAAATGATATATTTGAATTTTTAAAATCGATGCAGGATTTTTGTCTGAAGCTTGGACAATACCTTTTACATTTTTCTGCTAATTACAAATAAATGACATGGCCAAAATTTGTGCAAAACGATAAACGCTTGTCCTTATCGAGATATCGGATAGCTTTTAAGGGGCACAACTAGTGTGAAATTTTCAAAAAATGGAATTTTCAATTTTTCTATATTTCAATAGGTTACACCTTTGAAAATAACATCAAAATTTTAAATCGATATCTTAAATAGTTTTTGAGTTACAGCTATTTAAAGAGTATAAATATATAGTATAACGATCATTTAATCTTTAAACGCGTTTTTCTCAAAACAGCATTTTTCGAATTTGCTACAGCGATTACTCAAAAACAAATGATCCGATCAATATCAAATTTTATTAATGTTCGATATATAGTTCTCCGTAAAATGAACAATCGATTTTTTGATCGGATCAAAAATCGAATTTTGGCAGTCCAAAAACGACCAAAATTTTGGGTAAAATTCGTCTTTTTTTTAAAAAAACGCAGTCATTTTGTCAATTTTTGATTTTTTTTCTTTATCGTAGTTTATTTTAGAGACAATATTATCTAGTTTAACGAGATTTTTTTTTTTAAATTTCATCCACATAGATGGCCGGAATCACTGCAGCAGTGAAGGGCCTTTTTTTGTCGCGCCGTTGGAGATCGACGATAACTTAAAAAATATTTAATTTTTTTCTTCAAAAATTTTACTATGTATTCTTAAAACATATATAAATATATTCCTAAAATTTTGAAATGATTGATAAAGTAGTTTTTTTAATATAAATTTCCAAAAATCACCTTTTTTTGGGCGGTTACATTAGTTGTGCCCCTTAGATTTATAGGTTTTTGAGAAAACGCCGGCGAAACGTCTCATTAGATTCAGAATGGCTTGAAGCGTCAAGAAAACATAAAATTAGCAAGTCAAATTATTTCGTGAAAACATAAACTTCTCTCTCTAAAACTTCATATTGCACTGTTAATATAAAAAAATTAAGTTATCACTGTTCACTACTTAAAAACTAATCAGTGTGATTCCCAATTGATATTACATACGATATGTTTTAAGTATTTAATTTGAAACTTCAAGAAAAGCAAATGAAGAAATTGCATTTTCTGGTAAAAAATAAACTTCTCGTGCAAAAAGCTAATAATTTATATTGAACAATTATTCTTTATATAATTGTTCGTTATCAATTTTAATTTATAAAAACAAATGTTTTTTTATATAATATATTAATATAACAATACATAAATCAACATCAATAAAAGAAGTAAATAACATGTCAATATAATATTATATATATATATATATATATATATATATATATATATATATATATGTAAATATGTAAACTTGCATTATTGTTTATAAATATAAAGTATATATTTAAATTAACTATTTCAGTTCAATATCTCAGGAAATATTTCTGTTATAACTATATCAAACAAACTATACACCAGCTGCAAAAATATGAATTGCCATATATAAAATGAGAATAAATTTTATAAGTTAATGACATTTTAATATTTTTATACCTGTTTATTGAGTGTTGGATGCTGCAAAGCCTGATGCATTTCAAGTAAGCATCTGCTCAATTCAGGCCAATATTTACTAAGCCTTTTTGTATTTGAGAACTTGTGAAGTTTTTGCTTTGCAGTTTCACATAGTAAAGCATTATTAGATGCTACCACAGATTTTTCAATCTTTTCTGGCTTAGTTGCAGGAAACAATGTATCTGAAAAATATTAATAAAATATTATAATTTTAATATTTAATATTTATAACATTTAGTTTCATCTAACTAAAATGTTTTTATATATTTATCTATTCATCTACTACATGAAAATATTATTATATAAAGATATTGTTAATCTGCCTCGTCAATATATTTCACATTCAGAAAATAAGCAAGACACACACATATATATATATATATATATATATATATATATAAATAAGATGTCAAACCTGTTAGCATATTTATCAAGCTTGCTAAGCCAATTTCACAAATTTCACTCGATTCTACAATTTTTCTTTGAACTAGGCAATTAATTATCTTATCAAGAAATGTTCCGAAGAAATTGCTTAGTGCTAATACAACACGTATTACAAATTTCGGCGCACTCAGCAAACGCACCACTGAAATAATTAAAGGTATCAGAAATTAGAATATTTAAATATTTGATAATATTAAAGGTCATTCTATACAATCTAGTCTTTTAATACTAAAGTGTTAAGTAATTTTAAATAAAAATGTGCAAATTTGTTGTCAAAAAATATGAAAGATTATTAAATATTTTTAAATGTATTTTTGTGGACTTAAAACAGTTTGAAGTGGGTAAAAACTTACAAGCAGTAATTGCTAAAAATTTCTAAGTCGAGTTATAAATTATTACTTACATAGGAACAAAATACATTGTGATGGTCCCCTAACAACTGAAGGCATAGAAGTGTGAAAATATTCATCACCATCAAATCTTTGAGACTCTCTAAAATTGAAAACAATTGTAGTAGCTATTTGTAAGTAAACATATTTAATCATGTATGTATTTAGTATGAAAGTTATGTAATAAGATGTATTTGTCAAGAAATGTAGAATACTAAAAAAAACTTAAACAACCTAGTTTTAAGTGACATTTTGTTTTGAGGCGAGTTGCATGAACTTCCCGACATGGGAAAATAACCAACTTAATCAATACATATTAATTTATTATTGTCTAATACGGACAGAGTATTTTCTAAAAGCGCGATTAATTCAACCTTAAATTAATTTTTAGAATTCAACCATGTAGTAGACCTCTAATATTTTAGCACATATGTTCATTAACACCAGTAACTATATTGTCATACTTGTTCACCTATGATTGCCATGCAAAGTTTCATTAAAATCGCAAAAAAATATATACGGCGAAGAAACGACGCAACCAATTTTGCACTCTGCTCAATTCTGCACAATTCCCTCATGATATCTTTCAAATAGTTTTTGAATTTTGAAAATTTATTCAGAACTTTTTATGAAAAGGTGTACTAAAAATGTTGCACTTTTCTGCTAATTCTGAAGAAATGGCTTAGTCTTAAAAAAGTAATCAACGTGAATCAATTTTCACTGAATTGCTTTTAAATTTTCAAAATCGGCTTTTTAGAAAAATCGACGAAATGACGATTTCGACCCATGTTTCGACTGATGTATTTTTAAATTTAAACGTCTTTCGTAAGAAAAGTCGAAAAAAATCGCCTCAATGCAGATACACATACATTTTCCAATTTCGTCTCAAATGATTCAGAATGACTTTTTCAGAAACTTCGAGAAAACAGAATTAGCAAGCCGGATTTTTTCGTGAAAACCTTAACATCTCCTTCAGGAAGTGAATAATTAACAAATAATCATACACTACAGCATTTCAATATCATTTCATATCATGTAGTTGGAATATTTGAAACATGTAACTTATTTACAGATGTGAATAATGATGCACCATTATTTTAAAAACTATGACAAAAAAGATACCTGAAATGATCACCAAATACCAAGCTAAATCTATTATTTGACAGTCTTTTATTAATCATCTTTTCACTGGCATGTGTAGAATTACGCAGTATTTCATTTTTACCATTGATGTCTTCTGTATTACTCGGGTAGTTACTGAAAACACAAATTTTTCAGTTAGGTACACCTGATAAGGCTTTTCACAAATAAAGAAATATCACAAAAATAATAAACTGTTGATAACTAAAGGCATTTCTATAAGCTAGACTAACTTATGTAAAAAAGAATAAATGTGAAAGATTTTGCACTTTCCCTCTCTATTGCCTACAGTAAACATCACAAAGTGCACACAATTTCAAAATGCACATTAGTTATATTAGCAAATAATTACTAAGACCTTAAATTATGCAATTTCAATTCTTTAATAAGTTATAATATATAACAAAAATACTATTATTAACTAACCCGTTGCTGCCATATTCTTGAACACTTTTGAATAGTGCACTTGTAAAACATTGCAAATGCTGTCCGCGTTCTTTTCTCAACTTATGGGCAACTGACTGGTATAAATTTGCCCCAATATTTCCATCACTGGCCATTCCTCCAGAAGCAATGATATTTTCATCATGCTGTCCATCAATATTTGAGCACAATAACCCAGAAGAAGTAGGTGGCATGAGAAATGATGCAACACGTTCTTGTTGTTTGCGAGACAATGATTTATTAGCAACCAATGACTGGAGAAATAATTCATAAGATAGTCTACGTTCTTCTAGTGAATGAGTTCTGCAGAAGAATATTGAATTTCAGAAATATACATTAAATAGTACATTGAAAAACATTTGACTTTAAAGATGACTTTGAAAAAAATTTTATCTGTAGGTTTAAACATTGTAATGAAATTATAGAACATAAGTTGCTATTGTAGAATTTCATTTACAGAAATAATCAGTAATTTCCTCAACCACAAGTACAAATCCGTGTTAGTTCCAGAGCATCCATTTGTTATCGTCACACATTGTATGATTTATGGCACTATTAGAAAATTACTGCATTTAAAAGTAACATTAGTGACATTTATATTTAAGTAAAAACTTATGATGTATATTGTATATGTGTTCAATTAATATACCGGTAATAAAGATTATTTTCAACAAATTACCACCTTAAGCGAATGAAAAGAACTGCGTTGTATGGGGTTGGAAGACCTTATTCTAGATAGAATCAGAAGTGTTGCAAGACAAAGTGTTATCTTATATATCTAAGTGGTTTTATACAGCAAAAATGAGTTATTTTTATACAGCAAAAATGAGCTGACGACAAATGATTCATTTACTACAACGATATTGGAATAGAGAAAGTAAGAAAAAACAAAAGAGTAGTAATTTCAAACTCGATTATAAGTGCTAAAACTTCAAAAAAATAACATATATCGTAACTGTGGTCATTACTAAACATATTTACATTAAAAACACCACTGAATTAAATCATGTTTTAAAATATATGACAAAAATATTTCAAATCAAATTTTAGTTATTCCCTAATATGCAAATGCATTTACGTTCATTGCATCAAATATGGTAATCATAAAATTATCAATTTCAAAACTCAAAAAGTATGTTTTATAAACCTTGATTTAATTATTTAACTTATTGATTTTTATATGATCAATAATTTCATAGAATTATAATAATTAAATTATTTGAAATCATTATAAAAGTCTTAAGAAAATAATACGTCATCTTAAGCTATCTAACAATAAGACCTTACTTTACTATGATCGGTTTCAAAAATTAATACTTAAATAATATTATCATGTTATTTTGATACGATTCAAAATATAGTTGATGTGTACTAAATTCATGTACTATATCAGATAGTACATTTACCTTAAATAACAAAAATTTGGAATTCTTTTCTTATTTTTCTTAAAACATTAGTTAATTTGTTACCTAACATCTGGTAATACATCCCATTCACCAGTGCTTCCCACTTCATTTCTTAATGTGTGAAAAGATTTCTCTTTAACTGTTTGCATTACATTGTGGGGTGTTACAAAATTATTCGGAGAATAATTCGGTAGCATTGAGTTTGGCAAAGGATATATCTGCACTTCACAATGCACTCTAAATAATGCTTCTGATGTCTATAAAATATAAATACATTTAGTATATTTATTGCATACAAACTAAATTATAATTCTGTCTATATAATTAAGATTGTATCTATTTAACCGAATCAAATATTTTTTATAGAAAGTCTCCAGAAGCAGTTCTAATCATGTATATATTTTTTAAATCTTTTTGTTTTTTAATTTTATTTGAAATTCGAAACATTCATAAGGGGGAATTTTTTTTATTGTACAACATGTATGTTATTTATATCAGGTAATAGGCTTTTGATTACTCAAAAATTAGTTTGATTGAACAAAAATATATTACATCAAATTAGTAATGAAAATTGACAATAAATAAAAGAAGATATGATGTATAAGTAAAAATTACTGGTTCATATGTGATGTATAAGAGACAAATAAACAACCTACAAGTTCGAGTCAGCTAATTGTCAGAAAGCTTTGAATATTACTAAAAAAAGAACAGAAAAATGTACACTGTTGCATGATTATAATGTATACTTATACAAACCTGTGATCCATTTGTATTTTCCACACTATGCACTTTTACAATGTAATCTGAAAGTTTGGGATAGTGACTCTGATGTCCAGTATATTCCATTGTATAAAAAGAGCTGTTAGGAAGTAGTTGACCTATAATATAAGAAGCATTAAAATACAAAATATGCTATAGTAATCTTTTAGCAAAAATATTGAAATAAAACTAACAAACTAGGCAAATGAAGTACAATAAATAATACATAACACAAGATGATATAACTGATTACCATCTACTGGTCCTCCTCGCAGGGCTCCTTTAATTTTAGTTGAAATGTTGCTCAAACGAGATTGAGTCTGAGACAATTGTAATGGAGATTGATTAGCTTGATTTTGATGTTGTCGAGGTCTAAGGGAACTGGAAATGAAAAAGGAAAGAAAATATATACTCAATCTGAAACATAATTTGTTTACCCATTTTATAAAAGACTGATTGTAAAAGACAATTAGCAGTTGATGTGTTTTATTAAAATGTTTTGTGTTATGAATACAGCTAAATAAAATTACAGGGCCTTTTTTTATGAAATTATTAGATAGAAGTAAAGCTTTCACTTTATTGCTCATACACACATATTAAATCATTTCACATGGACTACACATTGGAATGTGTAGTCCAATCAATAAAGCCAAAAAAAAAAAACAGAAAAAATTAGAAAGTCCTCAAAAAAATATTTTTTTCAAGTTAATTCTTCAAAAAAAGCTAAATTTTTATCAAGTTAATTCTAGACAGAATATAACTAATTTTAATTTGGCGGAAATGGCACTTATGAAATCTATTGATTTGAAAGAAAAAAATAAGCATATATATTTTTGATGACCCACACAGAGAATGTTTATGAAGTAAAAATTGAAGTACTGCTTGTGCATTACTGTACTTAAAATAACTATTCCTAACACAAAAATTAACACAATTTTTTCACAGGAAACCACCCAAAAATATACTTCAAACATATATAAATAACATACATAATGTTAGAACAAAACAAATAACTTCTGAAATGTTTCAGATTTTTAATTATATTGAAAAACAAAAATTCAAAATTCAAAATTAATATAATGGTTGCAGTCTGAGGATTTTCAATAAAAAACCTTTAATAATTCGTCTAGTACTAATATTCATTCTATGATACATATATTTTATAAAAATGATAAAAACTAAATATCTTATTTACCTGTTTATAGAAGTCTTACACACCTCAACGGGATTTTTAGGCCCATATGTTAATTCCAAAAACTATAAAAAAATATAAATCACTATGAAAACCAATATATAATAAGTATTTTAGTAAATAATTATCTATTAAAAATTCAACTTACCTCAGGGCTTGTATAAAAGTCATTCAGTAGACCATCCAAGTATGAAAAGACTTTATCATACAATTCATAAATTGGAGCTACAGTAGCTAAGCCAACCTTTTCTGGATCCATTTTAGTTACGGCTTCAATATCTTTGAGATGTTTTGGTGAAATGGTAACAAATTGCATTAACTGATCAGAGCTATTATTACGCAAATATACATTCATCACAGATTGCAGACTATTCTGCAAACGATCTAAATGTTTTTGTTTGATATCTTTTGAATTTCCTGTGGAATTTGGCAATCCAGTGGGTGCTGGTCTCATTAGCATATTATTCATATCATCTATTAATACAAATATGTAGTAAGCCAAGATATAATATTAAAGTAAGTAAAGAAGTGATGTTATTATTTAGTTTATTTAGTTTTTCTTGTGTTCATTATCTGATCTTATTTATATTTACAAGTAAATAAATAAATAATTATTATTATGTATCAACGTCGACAAAACTATCATCATCATCATATATATATATATATATATATATATATATATATATATAATTCGCTTTGCAAGCTCCAATGTACAAGAGAAAAACATTTCAACTTAATAGGAGCAAAATGCATTAGCCGTTATCATATTATTTTTAGGTTTTCATTTTTTTTCATTGAAATTTTCATTTTTCATGAAATTATCAAGTATTTGCCATTTCATAATTCGAATGAAATGTGCTAACTTTTGATGAAACATGCCAAACTTTAGTAATTGTTTTAAAAGGGGCCTATAAAAGTAGACTAATTTTGAAAATGTTAAATCTTTGTTCAACAAAAAGTTTTAATTTTTGAAAACTAGAGGGCCAAGAAATGTTATTTACAGTTAAGGATCCAAACTTAAACAAACAAAAAATTACAATTAACCACAATAATAAAAAAAGTACAATTTTACAGAAGCTCTAGATTGCTTAGAAGCTCATATTCATTACTACATAGAATAATGTTTGTTATAATTATTCTCATAATAGCTACAATCACCTCGTTTCGGCTTGGTAGGTAAGTGAATTTCATTTTTCTAAATTACAAATGATTCATTCTCCTACAAATCGTTTGGCATATTCTCACCAGTAAGCAGAACAAGTTGCAACTGTTAACATATGATGCTACATTCATAGTTTAGATTTTAAGTTATAATACACTGATGATGAGACAAACTCAGTCTCGAAATATTTGTAAAATTAATAGTATTATCTGTTGAATTTTTTTTGCAATATATATCATGGTCTTATAAAATAAACTAAAATGTTGCGGCCTTACGACAAATAGTTTATTGTTAAAAATTCATCAAAGTTGGAGAAAATATTATGGCCAAAATTTGTGTCAAAATTTGATTATGTGATGTGATGTGTTCAATTCATTAAAATTTAAAATAATAAACTACAATTTTAGGACGCACAAGCACGTGTCTGTGCAATATAACTAATATAATTAGAGTCAATTTAAATGTGTTTGAGAAAATTCTATCCGAAATTGCAATGTTTAGATTTAATTGAAAGCGATAATTTTCTTTTCAATTTCGATTGATTAAGTTAATTCTTACACATTTCAAGAAGTTCATGCAACTTGCCTTAAGGCTAAATGCCCCTTTAAACTAATTCAATAAATTAGTGCAGAAAAAACTGTTGTTTGTTCATGTTTGTAAATGAATTTATATCCACTCAGAATACATTTGTTATACATACATTCATATATACATTTATACATACATACATACATGCATATATATATATATATATATATATATATATATAAAAAGAAATTTCCCATCTAAATGTAAACTAGCCTTCACTTACCAATGTGCAAACAAAATTGTAATAGATTTATTCGATTTGTTCTTTTCAAATATTGCATGAAACAATACAATAATACATACATGCATAAATATATATATATATATATATATATATATATATATATATATACCAAAAAAAATTACCCATCTAAATGTAAACTAGCCTCCACTTACCAATGTGCAAACAAAATTGTAATAGATTTATTCGATTTGTTCTTTTCAAATATTGCATGAAACAATACAATAATACATACATGCATAAATATATATATATATATATATATATATATATATATATATATACCAAAAAAAATTACCCATCTAAATGTAAACTAGCCTTCACTTACCAATGTGCAAACAAAATTGTAATAGATTTATTCGATCTGTTCTTTTCAAATATTGCATGAAACAATACAACAAGCTGTGATTTTTCAATAATAATGCAAGAGTAGATTTTCCTTGTATAAATGTTAAAGGCTTTGGCATAATATAAAATTCTTTTAATAATGGAACCTAAAAAAAGAAATATGTAGATTGAATAATTCTGTTGTTAATATTGTCTAAAATATAAAACTTTATACCTGCTTATTTTTTAAATCATCGTCATATTCCTTAGTATTGCTAAAAATACTGATAATTATATTGTTAATAATAGTTGGATCAGCTAAGCAATCAGTCAATGGCAATAGAACCCAACAGGATAATATTTCTCGGATAAGTGATATGAAGTTTCTGTAAAATATGTTGCATTAAGACAAAATATTTATTACTACAATAAGTATGAAAAATTAAAGACACATTGTACAAATTCTGTTATCTCAAATAATGTTAGCTTACCTACATTCGTGATCTTCTTTATCAATTAATAATGGCATTAGTTTTTCAGTTATTGTTCTTATATATTCAATTTCAGTATTTCTGTCCTTTAAAGCATAATGCTGGACATAAGGTTTGGCACAGATCACTATTGTAAAGAAATCAAAACCTTATAATCATGATCAATTAATAACATCAGTAAGGGAATGTTAATTATTACTAAAATTTCCTCCAGTGTTACTATCAATATTTTTTCGAGATTTCATTGATTTTGAAACTCCATATAAATGAGATAAGGCCACCGGAAGTAACTTATCCATCAGTAGTATGGAAAAATCAATCTATAAGAATTGAGATTTAAACTAGATGTTTATAATAAATGTTATATGAAAAAATAAATAATAAAAATGTTTATATGGAAAAAACAAAGAAATCAAAAAATAAATTAATGATAATAGTTTATCAATCTCTTACCATTTGCAATAACCATTTCAAAAATAATTAACTTGATAATAAATTTATAAGTGAAAGAAACTGTTTTGAGACGATTTTTTTTTTTGAAAAATAAAATTATATAAAATATGAAATACATTATAAACTTTAAATCTTAAATTACTGAATTACAAAATTTAATACCATTATTATTTCACATTATCATTACAAAATAATTATGAGTAGGTAGTCAATAGATTCAATTTAATTTACCTGTTTTACTCTGCGTAGTACAATACTTGTAGAATATTTCAATGATTTTTTAACAGCATATTCAAATCTTTTGTCTTTTGATACATCTTGATACCAACCAATAACAAAATTTTCAAGAATTTTTTCATAGAGCTGTAGTTAATAAAATTTATTATAATTTAAACATTGAATTATTAATATACACATTAAATATATAATAAATACTTGTTTTATGGAATGATCTAAATCTCTGTGTATATACAAATTATTCCATGGTTCTTTTATTGGCTTTGGTTTATGCCGCAAACATTTGCCATTGTTGCACAAATCGCATTCAATCAATTTTCCTGGAACTGATGGTTTCTACACCAAAGAAATAAACAATAAAATTATTCATTATTTGTAATTAAATACAGTAAAAGTCCATTAGTACAGTCTAAAACGTCCGAGAGATAGGCATCAGTTAAAACAATTGAAAATTATTTTGTTTTCTGCAAAATAGTGTCTTTTAACCAAATAAAAATACTTGAGAGCACTTGTGAAGTTTTCGGGGTAGTTCAAGATCATTAGGAAACACTTGGTATTTATTTTTTCTGGAATAGACTGTTTATTTATCACTTTATGTCTGAACAAATAAAATACAATAAAAGTCCATCCAAGTAAAATTAGGCAGTTGGGCTTTTGCCTATTATATAAGATACTGAAGACATCCTTCTCTTGGACAATTCTAAAGCCCACAAAAAGCCCGTAAATGAGTTAATTTTTGGAAGTATTGTTGCCACACTTCTTCCATGTAATATTTTTAATTCAACACATTGACCAAGGGGTTATTTAAAATTTCAAATGCATTTGTAGTAGATCTTTTATTCAAGACCTGGTAAAATTCGAATGCGATGGGAATAATTAGAATAAATCAAAAAGTTTACATAGTCACTTTTGCTGAAATTTATTCCAACTACAAAGCTTTGCAAAATTGATTTCTATATGTTATTATTTTTGCACTAAGAATAAATTTTATTCTAAAGGCTTAAGCAAGTCCAGAAAAAAAGACAATCGTCACATGTTTAAATTTTAGTGAGATTTGTTTTACAGTATATGCACATACAATATATGCAAAATAAACTTCGTTCTATGTATTTGCATATTCTATTTGTAGTTCAATTAATTACCTAATTGTTTTTATAATTACTGCCCGATAGTCCGAAATTTTCGGTTCAAGTGCATGCTGAACTAATGGATTTCTACTGTAATAATTCAGTACTCTGTTGTACTTTAAAATAAAATTGAATGCGGTTTAATTTAATAAAATACTTTAATAAAATTAACTGAAAATATCACATATTTATTATATGTCATTTTATGAATTGAATTTAATAGAATTGTAATACAATTAGTAAATATTGAATTATATAATAAAAACAAATAGCAAATATTTTATTATCTTTTTACCTGTAAGTCTCTATAGCCAAATAAGGTACAAAATTGTGGAATGTACTTAAAAATAACATCTTTGTATAATATTATCAGGCCACAAACAATGCATCCTAAGATGTAAGAGAAGATGATAGTACATGCAGAAAAAGTGCTGAAAATAATTAAATTTAATGTAAATCATAATGTAAAGCACCCAACATTTTGATATTTTCAAATAATAATTATTCAACCTGTAGACTAAGGCAATTAAAACTGATATCGTTAAAGTTGTTGTTATACTAATTTTTGCAACAGGGTCCTTCCAATATTCGGCTAATAACATTAATGTCTTTTTATCCATTTTCTCACATTCTTAATAATCTTGTGTTATATTTGAGTCATTCTTACAGATAATTTTTATTCGACTTTTGTAAATACATGAAATGTCAAAATCAATGGTTGAAAATTGACATGATCAGATGTCGCCACTTAAAATGGTTCATGTCTATGATAAAGAAATAGCGCTAAAATTGAAAATAGGTTAAAAGAAAAGCATGTTAGAAGTATATTAACTAGTACATGTACATGGCATTGTTCCTTAAGGCAAATTGCCGGAACTTCCAATATATTCTAAATAAATCAATAAGTTATAACTATTGTGGTAGATATTTTAAATGTTGTAAATTAAATCGTCGTATTTTATAGATCTAGTGAGATAAGATATGAAACAAGATCTAATGTTCTTATAATCCAATCTAATAAAAATGTTATCAATAAAGTCGATTATTTTACACAAACCATCCAACTTTTCTTAAATGTTTAAAGCAGTTAATTGCTTCAGATCATCATTAGAAAGACTAGCTATTGCAATTTAAATATTTTTTTTTATAATCTTCCACGCTTACATAGAATATTTTTCGTTAAGGGGGTCTTCCTATGTGACGGCCTGTTTTTTAAGGATAATTTAGGATTTTTTTTCTACGACCAGTAAATATTTAGAGTTTCAAGTTTTTTTATCATTTATTAACACATATTTGGACAGTATAAATATAAAATTTCAGCTAAAAATATTCAGTCAAACTAGAGTTACAGCGCTCTGAACACCCCCGCCTCGAAAAAAAGAGCTCCCTGCTCCTTATCTGTAAAAAAAACGGCGTTTTAATTTGTAGGCTTAAAAGCACGGAATGACCTATAATCAAATAAATATAAAAAAAATTGGATTATTGATAGACATTTGAAATAAAAGTTGCAAATTAGGCGTTTTTTTTTGTTTTTTGCTATAAAAAAAAATCGAAGTTTTGAAAATTTTCGATTGATAATAGTTCATTCCATGCGTTTAAATATATTGAGTGTGCCCTGTAAATTTCAAGTGATTCGGTCCAGCCGTTTTTGAGATACAATGGAAAGTTTGAAAAACACAGTTTTGAGAAAAACGCGTTTAAAGTTTCAACTGCCAACTCAGCGCTCCGAACCGCTCTTTCTTTTACCTGCTGTATCTTTAAAACGACTTCGAATTTTCTAAAATCGCTTTACTACCGTATTCTAAACATGTTAAGGGAGCAATTTATGAAAAAAAAAAATCGATTTTTTCAACCCATCACATAGGAAGACCTCCTTAATTCTACGTTCATCTACAAGAACAAAAACAAAATAATATAATCTTTTTCACACTGTCGACACAAGCAATGTTTTTAAATCACTCTGTTCGGTTCCGCCGTGCTCTCAAAAACAGCTATTTTTGCACTTTGTGCTCAGGGTATGCGAAACCGATGGGCTTGGCTGCGCAAAAAAAGTAATCAATTATTTATTCAATCAATACGAATCGAATGTTTTATGAACCATTCATATCGGATGTGCCGTTTTCTCAAAAACTGTTTGTTTTTACACTTTGCTGCGTATCTCCGAAAGTGCTGGACCTGTCTTTGCCAAAATAATAAGATTCAGCACGTCTGCCTTTTAATACAAATCGAATGTTGTTTGGATCATTCAAATCGGTTGATCTCGATTTCGTTGACGAAAAATTATATCCACACACACACATATATATATACATCAATTTTTTTACAGGTATGCCAAAATGTTCAGAAGGCTGTAAAACGTAAAGATATGCAAACATTTTCACTTTCGATTTTATTGCGATTACTGTAATCTACTCTATAGATAGTAAATAATTTGGTTAGATCGTAGTATTCCAATATTAGCATTGGCAAACATCTATGAATATCGTAAAGTACATACACATGCTAAAATATTACGGCCATACCACAAGTCATTTAATTTAAAAAATTAATCGATTTTTTTTAAATGAGCGGCACTTTTTGGTTTGAGTGAAAATTTGACTTTTGTCGATGTTTAATAAATGACGGGATTAAAAAATTTGTTCAAAGTGAGTAGTTATTATAATTACTCATAAATTATACACCTATCATATATTGAAATTTTATAGATAAACTCGATTATTTTAAACTTGCCGAGAAGTTCTAGTTTATTTTTTCGCTCAGTTAATTTCATCAGATCATCATTAGAAAGACTATCTGTTCAAATTCAAATGATTACTTCAAAATCTTCTACGCTTATATTACATCAATTTTTTCCGTTAAGTATATAGTGTTTCTTCAACGATTTTAAACATTTTTGAGTGAATCCCCGAACTCAGATAAAAGAGTGTTATACCAAAACTGCATCACAGTATTTTATTCACAACACCAACTTCAAAAATTAATAACAAATGCTTTCAATATACAACAAAAACTTTATTATATTTAAAATTAATTAGAGAAAATTAACATTTAATGAATTAGTATTCTTCGAGTTGTCCACAGGCCCGCGCTTCTTCGTAACTTTTTCCACGCTGGTCGGGACCCGGGGGCGGTGGATTTACCCGGATCATATCATCAATTCGAAGAATAGTAATGGCGGCTTCAGTGGCAAATCGTATAGCTTTGATCTTAGAAGTTGCAGGTTCTATAACACCAGCTTTCATGTTATCACGAATTTTCCCAGTGTCCAGATCTAAACCAGTCCAACGTAAATGGGCCATATCCGGCTAGGTAAAGAAAAAAAATATTTTTTTTTTTTTTAATTTGAAAATTTGCTTTATTTGACTTAAATACATACATTGATTTTTACATAAAGATACAAATTGTATACACCTATTCTGGGAATATCATTATACTATCATAATATAATATTGTTGATAGTATAATGATATTCTCAGAATAGGTGTATACAATTTGTATCTTTGTGTAAAAATCAATGTATGTATTTAAGTCAAATAAAGCAAATTTTCAAATTAAAAAAACAATGAGGTATATATAAAAAAAAAAATTGAAAAAAGATGAATTATGAGACTTGGTAATACTAAAAGTTCGAAATATAAAAAAATCAGACAACACTGATATAAACGATAAATATATTAAAATTTTTACTTAACGTTAGTTTAAGGCTTAAGGTTTAATTGAAGAAAGTTCTTATATTAATGTTATTAAAGAATTTGTATAAAATAAACAGAAATATATTCTGCTGGTTTAGCTTTTCTAATAGTTTGTTACTACACCTGTGTCTGACTCAAATGATGCTGAGCACGCAGTTTTGCAGTGAGATCTGTTGCATCATATGCTCCATTCACAGCTAGAGACGTGGGAATAGTCAAAAGTGCTGCGGCAAACTCTGTGATTGCTAATTGCTCGCGGGTTGCCTGTTAAATTATTTGATTAATTACCAGATCACATTTTCATTAATGTTCTTAATAAGGCATATGCAAGACAAACCTCTTAACAAAAGTTTTATTTTAAGCCACATATTTGGATAATATATTTACAAACTAAACTTACAATCGAATTGGCGTAATCCTCAAGCCACACACTAAGAGCAGATTCTACAGCACCGCCACCAGCAACAACAGCTCCACCTTCGATTGTGCGCTTGATAGCGCAAAGAGCATCATGAATAGAACGTTCCATTTCCTCACAATATGTATCATTTGGACCACGAACGACAATGGAAGCTGCACCCCTAGATCTAGGACTGAAAAATTTTTTTTTTTTTTTTTGTTGTTACAATTTATTTTTGTTAATCAAGACTTTAATGTCTTATTTACAAAATTGATATGAGCAAAAAAATACAAAAAAACAAAAAATGCAATACATTGAATATAAAATGAAAAAAGTTGAAATAAAAATTAAATTAAAACAGTAATACAAAAATAATAACATAAATGAACGATGACGTGATGATGTATGCCGCGTACTACGTCAGGACGCGTGCAGACATTGGGCTAGGTGTTTGGTAGATCGGAAGGCCATTTCTTGCTCAATCTTCTTATCGGTCTCTGAATCGCTTGAATTGTAGGATTTGTATGCTGGATTAATTTGTTGTTAAAAGATGAACTTCTAATCTTGATCATTTCGTTGACTGTTGAGATTTTCAAATCCTTATGTAGGCAAAAATTCGAAATATACCAAGGCGCATTAGTAAGGATACGCAAAATTTTATTCTGGCACCTTTGAATGATGTTTATGTTAGATTTGCAAGAGCAACCCCATAGTTCGATTCCATAAGTCCAAATGGGCACTATGATAGTTTTATACAAAAGTACCTTGTTATCGAGAGAGATTTCAGATTTCCTCCCAAAAAGCCAGTAAAAATCTTTTATTTTCAGTTGGATTTGTTTCTTTTTATATTCAATGTGCGTTCTCCATGTCAATTTCGAATCAATGTGCATGCCTAAATATTTAACAGAATTGCATAGTGGAATTATTGAATTGTTCATGATGATAGGTGGACTGTTGTGATGTTTTAGAGAAACAATTATGTGCTGAGATTTTTCGATATTGATTTTGATATTCCAATCTAAAAACCATTTTTCGAGACTAGATAAATAATTTTGTAACTGACAAGTTGCTGTTCTAATATCGGAATTGCATGAAATAATTGCTATGTCATCGGCGTAAGTGCATATGGTTAGAAGATCATCTGTGGGCATATCGTTTGTGAAAAGAAGATAAAGTACAGGGCTTAGCACACTGCCCTGTGGTACCCCGCATTCTATATTTCTGATGCTCGAAGTCACATCTTTAATTTTGATTCTAAATTTTCTATTAAGCAAATATGAGCTTAAGATATTGAAGTAGTTTGGAAAAGTTGTTTTGATTTTATATAGGAGTCCTGAGTGCCAAACCTTATCGAAAGCCTGACTGACATCTAAGAATACGGCTACGCTGTGTTCCTTTCTATTCATGGCTTCAAGAATACGAGACACCGTTCTGTTGCATTGTTGAATTGTAGAGTGATTTTTTCTGAAGCCAAACTGATGGTGAGGAATCCAACTATCATTCGGATGATCTTCTGACAATCTCTGCAACAAAAGTCTCTCTAAAATTTTCG